TTTATTTCCTTAATAAAAATGAGTTTACCTAATCAACAGCATGTTCTATACAATTAAAACTGCTGTTTTCTTTTTCATTAACCAAAATCTTGTTTTTGGTTGAAGAATAAGTTGTGAAGGTTAAACTAAATTAGACCAAAACGTGTGACCCAAATTGAACAAAATAATTGGGTGCGATAAGCATTTCATCATCATAATCATTAGCTTAATTCATGAAGCATCTGAACACCAGCCACAGCTGAAACAAAGTACTGAAAATCAGATGAACGAAAGCATCAAAGATAAGGACATAACTAAACACAAAACAATGTAAAATAATTAAAATTAAATGCAAAACATGATAAAACAAAACAATGAAACAGATCAAATCTACTGCAAACCAATAAAAGTAGAATAAAATCAAGTCTCAGCTGGGTTCAAAGCCAATGAGTATAAAGAAATAGTTTTAAAAATTGACAGCTACCAATGAAAGAGTCAACTTTATTTTATTTAGTTAGTTATTTACTTTTTAAAAACTAACACTGACTTTTGGTCCAAAATTATTTTTTAATACATTAAACAAATAACTATCAATAACTGAAGATGTTATGTTATTTCTAGAGGAGGCTTATCTGTTTTTATTCTATAAATAACAGAAATATGTGGTATTTTTACCAAAGGTCATTGTGCGATCATTTTATATGCTACATTTGATGTGGGGTGGGTTAGCAAACCAACTCAAGTTGTTTCCTTTTAAATGTCGGTTTAAAGTGTAGGTTAACACCAAAACTAAATTAGTATGTAGAAATCTACATTAATGTATCAGTGACATATTTTGTTTTTTGAACTGTGTGCCTTAAAGGTCCTCACTTCTTTTTTCTTATATGAATATCAATAGTCTCAAAAGAAATATTTATATTTTACACCGGCCACGTTGAATTACCTGTTTCTGAATTTTGTTCAAGATATTTTTAGCGTAGAGTTTAAACATAAATTTTCAATATAAGTGCTTGATTTTTTTGTTTGTATGCTGTTTATTAGTTTATCAGTTTTTGAAATGTTTCAAAGCGTCACATAAATTTTACAACACTGTGAAAATGTTCTTTAACACTTGTTCTTTAAGAGCTTTTATAAAGTTAGAGCCAAAGTAGGTAATGCCTGATGAAACTTCTGAATTTCTGTTTTTTATTCAAATTAAATTTGAATAAAAAAAGGAGTCGTAGTGGTGGAGTCATAGTGGGGCTGAAGATGGAGCGCACCGTAGGGCTTTGGCCTTTGTGTCGGTACAGGAATCACATTCTACATCTTCAGGTTTAGAATAATAAGCTTTAACTCTTGTTTTTGTAGTTGTCTCTATTAGATCAGCAGTTTTACCAGAACAAGTCTTATAGTTCTGGTAAAGCTGAGCCCTCAGGGACCTGTCACGCAGGTCCTACGTCAATCCAGAGCAGCAGATTGTCTCCTGGAAGGAGAGAGGACTGGTTGTTCTGGTTACGATGTTGCAGTTGATGGAGTGATTAAGATCTTGTTTACCTTGTTGTTAATTAAGCTTAGCAATATTTACCCCATAGTTTACTTTTTCAAAGGCAGAACTCATTATGAGTCTAAAATCAAGTGCAAACCTTTTAATTTGTGCTTTCTTTTCTCATGTTGCAGATTATTTGGTGGTCCGTTACCCTCAAAGGACCATCAATCCTCCTAAAGGATCCTCAGCCAAACTATCCTGTGAGGCAAATTATGACTTTGACAAGTGCGGAGTGGTGCATGTGGTGTGGCATAGGATACCAGATGATACTAAAACACCAAGCAGTGAGATGATTGATTCTAACCGGTACCTAACCACAGTCAGCGAGTCGATCTGTGAAAACAACTGGAGATGCAGACAAGTCGTGACGGAAATTATGAGTGTGTCCACAGGAGATAGTGGTCTGTATCAGTGTAAAGCTTCATGTGGGAGTGGAGAGCAAGCAATGGGACATTTTATTACCATCCAGGTCAAAAGTAGGTGTATCAGAAAATCATTGATTAAAATAATTGGCTAAAAGAGTTTATTAATTACTGTTAATCTGAAATAAGACACGTTACACATTCTATCCAGTCTAACACCTTGTTTTGCTCTCTGTTATATTTTCTTGCAGGTCCACCATATCCCTGAGCTGCTTCTTTTCCAAAATGACAAGATAAAATGATTATGGCTCAAAGTATACTCCTCCGAAACATAATCTTTTGTCTTAAATTATCCAATTAGATCAAACTATATTTCTGTGCAGATTAACCTTTTCTCTGTTGTGCTCCATTAGGTAATATGACTGTTTCTGTCACTGATATATATATATATATATATATATATATATATATATATATATAATATATATATATATATATATATATATATATATATATATATAAATTTTCCCATGCTTTTGTGTAAGCGAAACCAGCTGTTATTAAAAGCACTTGGTCAAAACAATAAATATTGAACTAAAGAAAGATACATTGTATTTTATTGAAGAGCTCCAGTCATTTATGTGGAATTTATGCTTAACTATTTGTGATTGTTTTCTACTGCAAAGTTTTTAATAAGATGAATGTAATAAAATATGCATCTTGATCAGTTTTCTGAGATTTTTTTGACAGTTGCGGGGTTACAGTCTTTGGCTCACTTCTGTTTGCTGATATATAAGGGAAGTACTTACAGACTGAGCACAAGTCTGTGGAGTGGAAGAAAAATCAAGCAATTTTTCAAAAAAGAATTTTAAACAAAAATAGTAGCACGCAATAAAATATCTTCTAACCAAATCACAGTCCTGTCTGACCTGGTAGGGGAAATCCTGGGTGGATTTTCAGCTTTCTGTTGACTGAAAAACATCTCACAAATTAAAATTTTAAAAAGTCAATTTATCCCCACTTGAAATGTTACCATTAAAAATAGATCTGATTATTCCACTGAATAACTCCATCAATCATCAATATTTAAAGAATTTCCAAAATGAGCCAAATAAGAACAATCAAATGATTACTTGGAAATGTATCAGCAGGGAGTGTCGATTTTTTTAGTGCATAACAAATGGCACGGTCATGAGGATGCAGAATGTGTTGAATTAGGATTTTGAAGTAACGTGGAGAAAAGCAGGTCAAATGTGAGGTATTAGTGTTCACAATTCTTTACTCCATAATTCATGATATAAATACATGATTTGATAAAGATTATTTCTCTTAGCCATTCTGCTCACTTAAATGTAATTTAAGTGTAATTTTTAACTGTCTTTACATAAATGTAATTAATGTAAGTGAGCAGAGGTCTGATAATCTTTGTAAGTCAGAAAATGGCTATGAGGAAATAGCTGCTACCAACAGTCAGGAAACTGAAACTGCGGCAAACAGAACTGGATGAAGATCCAACATAATAGTGAATAAAATAACCTAAAATGAATATTGTTACTCAAAAATAAATAAATAATATACATATGCTGCAACATTTTAAAAATGTTTTCATGAGTCATTCTGTTTGTCTTTGAGAGTAGAGAAACTTTGTTTCAACACAGAAATACTCTTAAAACTGTCTTCACTTTCAGCACATTTGAAGTGCATTTACTGTAATTGTTCACTTCTTCCAAGAATACCTGGAGATTTGATATTCACCACATTGTTTTCACATTTATTGACCAATGCGATTGTGGAAGGCCTGTGAGTCAAACCACTTACAGGAAACTCTCTTTCCTGCTGGGTGTTGCTGTTGAGTCCTTTTGAAAGTACAATCCACAGAGATTATGTTGTGTGTCTTTGCACTGAACTTGCAAACTGTTAAAACACGCTAACTGTTAAAATCTATTTTCAAAATGTTAAACTTTTAGAAAAGAATATTTCAGACAAAATATATTTGCAGAAACTGGTGGTGAGCATGGTCATCTCCACAAAAGGTTCTGTGGTTTGAGTCGTATATGCAAGACTTTCATGAGTATGTTTACATAAATTAGTATGTACTATCAAAAGCATCATATGTTTTCTGGTTTGAATATTACAGATTTGAGCTGACTAACACTGGTAAGAAACATGTCTGAAAGCATTACATTTAATGAGTTTTACAGAAATCAGTTTTTATAATAGTTTCAAAATCTAAATTTAAGAATGTAACATTTTATTTTTAATGCATGTATGTAATCTCTGCATTTTAAATATTATAAATATTTTTGGTATACTGTAGCTAGATGTCTTTTTGTTTTTTAAATAGCTGGTCACATAAAAAGAGCATGCATGTGTTTGATGCTACAGGAAACTTTGCAGTTGCTCTTCTCATCCTGGACAGGAAACCACATTTTATTCAGGTTGAAAAACTGCTTCACACAGACCCCACGCTGCTTCTGCAGGGTGCTCTCTCATCATTAAAAAAAACATTTATGAAAGTAATTATTTGTATGTTAACTAGCAGTTTGATTGTTTTTATCTTTCTGGATAATAAATTAAATGAAAAGAAATACAAGTGAGACATTCTTGAAAACATCTCGTCCCAGAAAACAGTTTGTGGATATTTTCGACCAAGGTATCTTGGCCAATATTCTTTTCTTTGTTTTAATTTGCTGTGGAGGCTGATTAAAACCAGCACATTTATATGGTAAACATACAGTATGTACTATCAACAAAACAGATGTTTCATAGTCTTCTGTAACTTTTTATTCTCACCCCCCAAAAAAGTGACATTTGTAATTTTTTTTATTAAAAAAATACATCAAGCTCTGATGAATGTCAATCTTCCTGAAATTCAACTATTGAGTTTATTTCATGTAGCCTGGATGTGGATATATCTTTTGAGTTTGTGACATAATTGTTATTTTAAAGAATAAATGACTACTTGAAAGGACCTAACTAAAATGAACCAATCAAGGTTTGCAGATCATCTTCAATGGATAAGAAGACAAAAATGGTAAAAAAAAAAAATATTTTTAAAAGGGTAGAAGCAAAACAGTATTTTAAAAAAAATCTTCACCTGGTTTTATATTGGCAGCTAATGAACTGAGAATGAACTGAGAATTTTTGTTGTACAAAAAATTGAAATACCTCCTCGTTCAGAGAAAACATGGTAGGAAACCCAAGTCCCTTATTGCAGTTTCCAATTTCATTCAGCAGACATAAATTGTTTTACTGTCCACATTTCAATCTTCTTGTTTGCTCTCCTTGAAAGAATTACGAGATAACAGTCCAGAACCTTGTTGGGAATGTGCTGGTTTGATAAACTTGCTCTGAAGGAAAACTCTGGGAACACAAAGCCCCTCCTTCTTATTAACTGTCTCTCTCAGGACATATTCATTAACCACAGACTGGAAGCCCGTCTCCTCAAACAGCTTAGCCAGGAACTCTGAAAACAGTTGAGGAAAACAGATTAAAACAGACTTTAAAAGAAATTGATCACAAAGGACAGCTTGTTATATGCCATATTTGAGAAACTACCATAGTTTAATGGATATGCATTCAAACACTACATATTCACATTGTACTTGGTCTATTATAAGAATGTTTAATGTTGATGTCAAACTTCAGATTTATTTTGCAGTCCAAGATGCTACAACTTAAGGGCAGTGCAGAAAAAAATAATTAAGAAACTGTTGATTAATCACAAGAATGTAGGCAAAGTAGACATCAAAAAAATAGCTGTGTATTTACTCAATTTATAAATAAGAAAAATAAATACATTATATGTCTCTTAATAATCTGTGTTGAACAAAATACATACATTGAACTTTACTGACCTTTAGAGAAGAAGTAGGACCTTGTTCCATCTTGGCGGACATAGAAGTTGTCCCCCAGCTTGCTGCCAGATTTAAACCGGAGCATAGCATGATCATAGAGGCCGTAATCCCTGAACAGGACGACACCGCCAGGCTTCAGGACCTGAAAGTAAGATTCATACCATTTTAGACAGGTCCATGTTGACTGCAAAAAAGCTACCAAAAGCAAACAGAGAAAATTCCACCAGAAAGTCAAATGATGTTTCCAAAAAAGTTGGCATGCTGTATGCAAAGTATGAAAAGGAAAAATATGCACTTAAATGAATATTGTACAAGCTAGGCCTGGGACTTTAACTTGTTAATCTGTTATTAATCTTAAAGGATTAATAACAGAAAAAAATACATAAAAATATTGAACACAATTAATCACACAGTGGAATGTAAACAGATGTGCCATCTAACCAAGTGTTTAAAGAAGTCAAAGATTCTGAATTGAAAAACTTTGCTAATTGTTTCAAATATTTCCCTTGATAACAATGCTAATAATCATTATTAATTACTTACAACTCCAATATTCAATTGATTTCTCATCATGCCCCACCAGTAGTACAAACACAACATCTTAAACGAGAAAACATATTTGCATCACAATGAAAACAATCTGTTTGTACCTTGCCAATGTTCTCTAAAGCCACCTTCATCTTATCAGGATGAATGGCTGACAGGACAAAGATGAGAGTAACGACATCGACGCTGGCCTCTGGAACATTTTCCGTCAGATGGTCTTTTGTTAAATCACACTGGAACACACAGCAGCGTTCGGGGCGGTACAGAGGATTTTTCTGTTTCAACAACACAAAACAAATCACGTATACAACCTTCCTAGATGGTGTTAAATACTCTCAAGCACAAGCTTTCAAAACTAAACAGCACTCTACTGATCAGAACTGCTGATTGCAATTAATTATTATTTTTTACATCAATAAGTCTGGTTTCACTAAATCTTGAATTATGTTTGTCACTTTTTAGTTAATGTGCATTAAAAAAAACAACTAAACTTTTAAATGTAGAATTGGGCTTCTGTAATTAATCAAAAGTAATTCAAAGATGCACAGGTTGAAATCTTACTTTGACAAATTCAACAGCCCGGGGTGAGAAATCACATGCATAAACAAAGATGTTGAGGTCTTCCTCCAGCAGAGGAAAGAGGCAGTTTCCTACTCCACATCCAGCCTCCAGCAAAACCAGCTTCTGGGACTCAAACTGAAAAAAGGTTTGAAAAAAGACAGAATACTGTTAAATAACAATTTATTTAGTATAGGCATGTGTTGATGTAAGTTCGAATTATGCTCAATACAAAAACTTTGAGACAACTCCAAAAATACAACTTTCAAATTGCCATGGATCCAGTTGTTTATCATGTTTCTTCAAAAATATATTTATAGTAGTGGGGAATGTAAGGAACTAAATATCCAGACAAACATTACAGGGACAAAAAAAGTAGCACGGCTCACTTAAACGAACCACACAACATTTGGTCCCATCAGTTTTTCCTAGATGTAAACATTTCCCTCAAAATGTCTTTCAAACATAAGAAACTTACTGCTCACATCTTTACATCTTAGCATAGCAATATACCACATTACCGAATGCTTTCAAGCTGCCAAATTCCTGGTTTTACTGTAAGTCGCATTTGCTTTTAATAAATTGATCAAGTTTTTGAGCATTATCTCGGTCTGCTAACCTCTCTACATGCTTGAAGCTCTTCAAACTCTCTGGTGGTCCAGTGTCTGTCTTTGAAGAAATTCGTCGTATTTCTTTTGTAAAACAAGTCCCAGTTTTTTTGAGCTTCTTTTTCGAGTTTCATCTGTTTGAAGTCGGACACCAGAGTCCGCTCGCTGCTCACTCTGTCCAGCTCCTCCTGGGTTAAATGTCTGGCTGTGGATGATGTTGTTTGTCCGCATGGAAACGTTTCATCTTTGGATTCCAATGTTACGGTTTTTGTTAGGTCAACTTCACTCTTTTCAATTGCTGTAAGTGACATGACACATTAAAACTGATTTGGTGTCTTGTCAACAAGTAACAGAAATTTGAAAAAGCTAGCATCTAGACATTTAAATCTAGAATATAATATGCTAAACTTTTCCACCGTTCGACGCCATCTTGTTCGTTATTTGAACTCTACCGTGTGGAGACAAAAATAGTAATTCCTTGTCAGTTTCAATGGCACCATTGTCTTGGCATAGATAAAAATTCTAAGTAAACATTAAATAAAATATCGGATAACTTTAATAAATTATTACTAGAGATTCGTTTTTGTTCATTAAGAACTTACTTTCAACCAACTTTCGGAAGTATTTTACAGTCGAACCAAAAGCGGAAGTGCGTTCTTGTTTTGCTAATTGTTAGCATCCGCAGGCTAACTTTTTCTTTATTTGGAGTCTCTGTTTATCCCAATTGAAGTAGCCAGATTTAACTCGGCGCTTCAGAGCATTTGACGCAAATGTAAGTTTTTAATAATTTCAAAGAAACCCTCGACCATGAATGGGAGTACAAATCCGCTGCTGGATAAAGAGGAGCATGTTTTGAAGCTCGGAGAAAGCTTCGAGAAGAGGCCAAAATCTTCATTTCACACCATCAGATGTGAGTGTCAGAGGCGCCTTTGTGCTTGACGACTGAGCAGATAACTACTAAATAATTACAACAATGTCATTGTTTTTGTTACAAGTATCTTACAATTCGATTGGGACAATATCGATATACTATAGGTTCATTCCAAAATAGTACTTAAAATATTTGTAGAGTTTAAAATTCGTAATTTTATCTGAGTCAGAGGGTCTTAGTTAGTCATTGACAGTCAAAGGTTAATAAAGACTTGGGATAGGAAAACATAATACAAGAACTAAACAATAAGACATTTATTATTCTGTATTCTACGTTTTAACACTCAAGATAGGCATACAGTAGTTATGTTTATTTCTTTATCTACTCCCTCAGATTTGTACATTTTGTCCGAAGAACCACAAACAAACGCACAGACGTGATAATATTGGTAAAAACTACAATGAAGATATCAGTTCCCATAATTGCTCACTTTAATTTATTTGCAGCAATCTCTGTGACTTAATCTTAGACCCTCTCACTTGTATCAGGTGTGGGCTGCCGCTAATACTTAGAGCTGGAAACCTAAACTTTTATATTTATAAAATAAAAAATCAGAATGTTTTTTTTTTTTAAATAGAACATTCAGGGATTTCGATTTTTTGTCATTTATAGAGACATGGCTGACATGCCAAGATGGTGTTACAGCAGAGGGATGCAGAGAGGACAAGTTTATATATATATATATATATATATATATATATATATATATATATATATATATATATATATATATATATAAATTTAGAACTCACCAGACCCGTCATTAATTTCTTTTTCAGATGACTTCAAACCAGCATCTATTGATACGAGTTGTGAAGGAGAGCTGCAAGTTGGGAAAGGAGATGAAGTTACCATTACATTACCTCACATTCCAGTAAGACTCTCAGAGGAGGGGGTGACACAAAGTAACTTTTACATTGCCAGTTAGGCCAGCTTGAAAATTCCTAAAACTCCAGTTTGACATATTGAGTAATGAGTAATATGTCAGTGGTTATATTTTATCTGTTAATTATGTGACAATTTTACTATATAAATAAGTAAAGTGTTTCTAATTTGGTTAAAATGGGAGATACTGGTCTGTTGTTTCCTTATTAGTTGAAAAATAGTCATTGAGATCCATCTGTCTGTTACATATCTCAAAAAATATTTTTACTTAGAAGTATGTAGTTAGGGAAAATAAAAAATAACAGGAAGTTAAAATCAAACTTGTCTTTCAGGGCTCCACGCCTCCTATGACAGTATTTAAGGGAAACAAGCGACCATATCAGAAGGACTGTGTTCTCATCATTAACCATGACACAGGTGAATTCGTCCTGGAAAAGCTCAGCAGCAGCATCCAGGTGAAGAAAACAAGGTGAGGGGAAAGTGCTTTAGACTTGATGACAAACAGTTTTTTACAAAACAATCTAAAAGGTCTAATATTAGGTATTTGTGCTGTTTGTTTATGCTATAGGGCAGAGGGGAGCAGTAAGATCCAGGCCCGAATTGAGCAGCAGTCAGTTCGCTCCAGCCAGCAGAGCTCTCAGTTCCGGGCCCCAACCAAACCTGGAACTGGAATCAAAACCTCGCCCTCCCAAACTAAGGACAACCCCTCTCCCGAGCCGCAGCTCGATGACATCAAGAGAGGTGAGGAGGTTCAGCCGCGCAAATCAAAGTTACCTGAATGCGAAATATTAAAGGGGCAGTAGTACGTATTTTCCAGATTTATAGTGCCATGACATAGCACAATCAAGTAACCAAGTAAAATGCAATGTATATTAAATATAATTTAGAAGAAATTTGACTTTGTAATTTAACATTTGACATTGAGCGGACCTTGGTAACTGCAGCTCAGAGGCGGCGTTAGGTTAATAGAGACGTTTTGCACAACTGAAAATTAAATAATTTCTCAAACATATATGAAAGTATCAACGAAACACTCCAGGTAGGTTTTTGATGTGAAGCTCAAAAGAGGTAATTTTACATCACACTGCTCCTTTAAGAGGCTAAAGATGAGCTTAAGAAGGTCTGACTTGGGTCAGTTTGAAGAGGGAAGGAACTCTAAGCACGCTGATTCCATTCCGACAGAGCTGAGAGCGGAAGTGGATGTTATAGAGCAGATGAGCAGCAGCGGCAGCAGCAGCTCCTCGGACTCAGCCAGTGCCTCGGGGAGCGGCGACGACAGCAGCAGCAGTGACGGTGAGAATGACGCACCGCGGCTGCTCAGCCAGACCTCCCCCAGCCGCCTCCCTGTTGTCAACGGAGGAGTCGACCGGCAGCAGGGCAACAACCAGCTCATGAACACACTCCGTGAGTTTCTGATTATTGTTAGCTTTGAAGTGTCTCCAGGAAACAGTTTCTCATTTGTTTTCTCTGCAGGAAACGATCTTCAGCTCAGCGAGTCGGGCAGCGACAGTGACGACGACTGAACTGTGGGTCAGTCTTTCCTCCTTCACCTCATCCTCATCTTCCTCTTTTCTGCCTGATTAATTAGTTTCTTTGCTGTGATAGCTGACTCCATCCCTATATTGTAGTGTGGCTGTTTTTAAAAGTTTTATTTTAGTACTTCCTTAAAGATGGCCACATAGACACGTTAGGAGTTTATTTTTATTAGATGTATATTTTGTTTTGGAAGAGTTTTACCGGAGAGTGATGGAAGATTATATCTAGAGCATTCATGCATATTTTAAATATTAAAAGAAGCTAGTTTTATCAGCCGAATACTTCTATTTTTATTAAGTTTTGATTTTATATTAAAATGAACAAGATAAAGGTTTCAGTCGGAACCACCCACATGTTCCTCCCCGTATGTCACACAAAGCTGTGGACATCCTCTCTTTATGTTATTGTTATTAGCACTTCTTTCGGCACGAATCAAACTTACATTCATATTCGTTCTCTTTCTTTAAATACTAAAAGATTATAGTGCAAAAACAGTGTTTAAATAACCTTTTAGTTATTTCACATTTGATTCTTTAGCCACTAAATAGCTTTAGTGGCTATTTGGCACTACAAAAAACAAGAGGAAATACATTTTACCTGCCCTATTTTTCAAAATGAGATTTAGTGACTTTTCATTAATTATATTGAAAGTGAGGATGTTTACAATTGGTATAAAAGCTGCTCATACAAGTTCCTTATTATAGTAGATTAATAACATCTTGGATGATGTTCTTTTCCCCCTGCCACAAGATGGCAGACCGTATTCAAAATTAAAACAGAAACCTAGTCAATGAGAGACATTCATTGAACAGGTTTATTTGTTATACCAAAAAAATGGGTTCTTCCAAACTTGGTTTGGTTTCTCCGGAAGGTAATGTAATGATTTGTTTGTGTTGGACTTTCGCTTACCCTCACTGTTACTCATTGTGTTCCTCTTTCTCTGAAATAGCAACAGATGTAGATTAGAAAATGGATAAAATCAACCATTGTGTATTTGAAACTGGATAACCAAAAAAAAAAAAAAAAAAAGGTTACAATTTCCAGTTTACTCTCAGCTCTTTTGTTGATTGCAGAGAGTGTTACTATCTGAGAGCCGTGTGTACCGTGTCTACCCTTCAGCTTGGACCCATGTTCTCATTAATGTTTGATTTTTGTATGTTATTTTTGGTCTTAGGTTCAGGTACTTGAAGCATCATCTCTGTGTTTTAGAGATTTGACATTATTATTCAGCCCTCCCAAGCCAATCATTGAGGCAGTTATTTAAAATTATATAAAGGCTCTACATTATAGGAGACTTGAAGCCAAAAACAAGCCTATAGGATAACTTTTGTTTGTTTCAGACATGTGTTGTTTGTTGACCCAGAAATATACTAGGTCACAGGACCTTTAAATGTTACTAATTTTAGTTTAGTAACAAAAGTAAATGTAATATACGCAGAAAACACCAAAGAATAGAACTTGTCCAGAGAAAGACATTCAGGATTGTTGATCGTGTTCAGTTTACAGTTTTACAGTCTTTTTGTGCAAACAGTATAATTGGTTACTTTGTTGTTGTTTTTTAACTGACCTGCAAACATTTTTGTGTTTGGTATTATTATTTACAGTTACTAATAAAGAAGAGTCTCAGTATTAAAATTGGCCTAAACATGAAATAGTTTTTGTAAAAGATGTCATAGAGAAAAAAACTTTTTTCATTATTACAAAGTAACTCATAATTACATTTGGAAACTTGTAGAAAGTTTTAGATCACATTTAAAATTACTTTACATACAAAATAGACTGTTTTACACTTGTCAAAAACTGATTTAATTCTTTTCTTGTTAAAATGAATGCTCCATTGCTCCAGTTCTGACCTGTATTATTGCGAGCAAAACCGCATGCATACAGACATACACACCTGGTCTGTTAGGTGTGTATGTACATTCTCTAGTCTGCTAGAGAAGAAATATGAGTGAATATACTTTTACATCATTAAGGTTCATAGTGTCAGATTTCATTACTCTTTTTTTTACTCTTTCATGCTCCAATGTATCGACATCAGTTGCAGAATCATTACAAATGCATGCTGTAGCACTAAATAACAATACATTAGAGACAGCAGGGCTTATTTAAAAGAAGCTGGAAGGTGTGTTTTGCCAGAGGTGATAAAAGAGTGTATCCTCTAATTTGCAACCTGGGGTTTTGTCTCTTTTTCTTCTTTGTGAATCACAAAACAATCCCACCTCAGTAAGTTAAAGGATTATTCCACTTTTTTTCTTGGATGTGTAAGCTAGATTTCTCTGATTTGTCCTGTATGGAGATTTTACTAACATTCACTGCTTTTAAATCAGCCATTTTTAACTGTGATCCTTAGGAGTAAATTCAGTTTTGGTGAAACCACAACCAGAGTTATATATAAAAACAACAACCGGATGATTCCCTAATGAGTATTGGGCTCATTGTAGATAAAATAATATTTTTAAAAATCCACAGAGAATTATAAACATATATATATAAACATAATCATAAATATGTTCAGCTCATTCTAGTTGTGAGCTGGAAAATGATAGGCTTAGATATTTGTTTTGGTGCTCAGTACTATACGCAATACAAGCCTATAACTATATGTTTCTTTTTATTTTATGCATGAAAATACAAACGGAACATGTTTACAGCTCTATGCCGAATGTAGACTGGAAATAATGACTTCCAGCTTAAGCGGATATTCTTCCGTTTTCCACCACGAATTAAAAAAACATTCAACTTTGAAGTGCAAAGAGAATGCAAATAACCTTCCTAGCTAAATCAAATGAACAAACTAGATTGTCAACTTTTTAATATCCAAGGAAATGTTAGTGTTGCTTAGTTTATTTTTTGGCATCTGGTAAAAGTGTAAGGATCAAATGTTGATTTAATAAACTCCAAAAAGAAATCAACACATTTTTTTTATTCTGTTGTTTCCGATGCAAACTGTAAAAGTCTGGCAAAAGTGTGCAGTTGTTTTACTTACTGTGTTGTATTTGTTATTTTAGTTTTGTGTGTCTTAGAAATGTATTTATGTGAAATTTGGATTGTATTAAGTTTGCAAATTTCAGTAAAATAGTTTCCCACATTGATGGTGAAGAATTCCATTTTTACTTTGTGTCAGTATGTGTACTGATGTATTTCCACTCTTACAAATTTCTGTTTCTTTGTTTTTGTCAGACTTAAATGTTTTAAATCATAAAACACATTTCAAGACAACACGGGCATAACCTGAGCAAATGCACAAAGCAATTTTTATATTCGTTTGATATCATTTATTACAGGAAATATTATTCAAACCAGTGTGGCCCTGTGGGAAAAAGTAATTGTCCTCCCTAATAAATCATGAATTAACTTTGATCAACCACATTATTTGGAAGGCTGAGTTTAATTTCACTATCCTCACCCAGGCCTGATTACTCTCAGATGTGTAGAATAAAGAAATCACTTAAACAGCACCTGTTTGACAACATGAAGTAGGCTAAAAGAAAGCAGTGGATGACAAATAGTTAATGAAGTCAGTCAGGAAAAGGTTACCAAGCAATTTCTAAGGATTTAAAACTCCTGTTAGCCACAATGGGAATCATTTTTTATATATGTAAAAAAAAAAACATGGAAATTCTGAAGCTTCCCAGAAGAGGCCAGCAAACTCAAACTACTCCGAGAGAGCTTCAGTGACTCGTCTAGGAAGTTGCAAAAGAACCCAGAACATCTGAAGTGCTGCATCAATCAGAGAAGTCAAAATTAAAAACCACTGCTGAGATACAAGTTTCACATGTACAGAAAACATCTTGATGATCTACTAAATGTTTCGGAAAAAAAGTTGTTGACTGACTTGACAAAATGGTTAAGATTAAAATAAATGAGTCAAACTCATCAGCAAGTCCAAAACTGAAACACTTAAAAAAGAAAAAAAGGAGATGCTGTGACTTTAAACAGGCTTTTTATGTTAAAAAGATTCTTCACTGCGTAAAATAAAACAATCCTTCAAAGAAGAGTGGGCCAAAATTCCTCTACAAGGGAAACAACTCATTTTCAGTTTTCACTAATACCTGAAGTCAGTAGTTAAGTTAGGGCGCCCTTACTTTTACACTTATGGCCAAGTTGGTATTGAATGTATTTTTCTGCTTAATAATGAGAAAATCATTTTAAAATGACCTTTTTTTATTTTAATATTTGTTTCTTTGCTCTGATACTTAAATGTTTAATCTGAACCATTCAAGGCAAAAAACAAAAGACATCTTTAAAGGGGTAAAACCTTTTCCATGGTGTTGTGTATATCACATTAATCCAGAATCGATTGGACAGCATAAAAAATATCTTAAAAATAAAATCCATACAATGAATAATTAGATACATTTCTGTAAATAAAAACTAACTTTCCACATATTATTTTATTTTGTATATATTTAATAATTTAGGCAGGTTTATATATAAAGGTACGAAAATACAATTTATTTAATATGTGTTCTTTCTCAATTGTTTTTTGCCATTTCTGTATTAGTTGCAGAAGCAGCAAACAAAACAAAATATGAAAAAAAGGATTTTGAAATATCTAAAAAAAAAACAATTAAATTCTCATTATTTGAAAATGACATTTTGCACTTTTTATGCTTCTAATTTCTTTATTTTTACCTCTACTTCTCTATCTATATTCAGCTACAGTTTTGGAACAGATTGATTTACTTTTTATTTTTGACTCCATTGTTGCTCCCAGTATTATAATTTTCTTGTATATTTGATTCCAGTTTTAATATTTGTAGTATAAACATTTCCTAAAGACAATTTACTCTCTGTCCAATTCTTCCTTGTTTGAAGATAGTGACATACTCCAATATCCATTTACTATAAAGAGCAGAGACAGTAGTCAAAAAGGAACTTCGAAACAAATGGTATATCGCTGGTCTTAAATAATTATCATCAAGTGAAACATATGTTTACATGAACACCTTCAGGTTTTATGCTATCCACAACAAACTGTACACGGAGCTTTAATACAATACAGTACTTATTCCCTGCGATGGTGCAATAAATGAGTCACATTTGGGCATTTTTCTTCAAACAGTAACACAAAAGTACACAACAAATACATAAATAGCTTTATGTTTCCCTTTGAATCAAACAAAACAATTAGATTTCTTGGTTCTGGCTCTTGCTACAACATGTCAACGAAGGATATATAAATTAACATCAACAACACATAATAATAATTAGAGCAATAATAATATAAAAGCTGTTTTGTCTTTCATATGAATCTGGTAAGCTTACAGTATGCACTGATGGAATAGAGATCAGCCGGGCAGTTTGATATGATGCATCAGAAAGTTTCTTAGTAATGCACAAATCCATATACCCAGTGTCTCCAACTTAAGTCTTTTGCAAGGAGGTGCCTGATTGGCTCTGAGATGAGTCCTCTGGCCCAAGCAGCTTCTCAAAGGCCCAAGCCTGAGTGGTCCTCAGATGGTGCCCTGAGTTTTTTCTTGATATTTAGTTTTTTCTCTAAAAATGTCACAGTACTTGGCATCAGAAGAGGCACAAGAACATCTGAGATGTGTCAGTCTATCCCCTGTTTTTGGTTTCTCTTATGTTGGAAGTCACTGCAGCACGTTTCTTTGCAACATTATGGACCCTGAGTACCGCGGTGCATTTGACCGGTAGACTTGAACCCATTAGAGTCCTTAGCGCTCTTTGTTAGCTTGGTCCTCTAGTTTGGACACTACAGACGAGTCTCCCTAAATTAGCCCCTCCCACTCAGTCAGAGGTTAACAAGGGTCACCGACCAGGGCAGGACGTGGGTTTGATGCAGCGTCCCTGGAACAGCACCAGATTGGCGGGGCAGTGGCAGCCAGCCACACAGGGTTTATGACATGGTCCGATCTCGTTCCAGTTGTCGCAAGTTTTAATACATCCAGGACCGCAGGTGTCATAGACTGCGTCATGTTTACACTGGGTGGCTGGGAGAAAGTAGAAAAAAGAGAACATTAGGAGTTGATGCATAAAAACTAGATGCAACAAACATCTCATAGACTCATGCATTATTTTTAAGCACAAACACACTCAGAACGTAAATAGCAAAACATGAACCAAATTGTTTCATTAGCAAATCCAGTACAGTTAAATGCCAAATTCTTTACATTAGTTTTAAGATAAGAATCACAAATTTTATTCGGGATAAACCAAACTTCCTATTTTGATCTCCCATTGAGGACAGCGCTATCATAAATACATAATCTATGCAACACCCTTAAGGTGAAAGGAAATAAGAAAGGCCAGTATTTAGATCTCAAGTCATCTATTGTGTTTCTTCTGTTATGTATTAGCTTATGGGACTGATGATGAGCCACAAACACTAACCCATGCAGACGTTGTCAGGCTTCCACTGTACCGGCACTCCTTCTCTCTCACAGGCTCTGCTGTAGGCAATGAAAGACTCACAGTAGCAGTTTTTATGGACTGGACACTCGCACATGTCTGTCACACATGACCTGCAAAGAGCATGACATGATTTAGTGTAGAATGGCTTCACTTTCACAACATGAAGTCTGAATGTTGTCAGATATTTTTGAAGTAAGATTTGTAAATACAATCCAGAATCCTATATCTTCAAATAATTTGGGAATGGCCAGATGACTGTCATTGCTGTGCAAGCTTCTTATGGGTTAATTTACACTTTTTGTTAAATCGAGACACACCTCAAACACACTGATTGATTGATTGATTGATTGATTGATTGATTGATTGATTGATTGAAGAGTAGCACAAATGGACAAAAGCTCTTGTCACAAGCTTAATCAGTAACTAAATGGCTTGTGGACAAAACAGTCAATTCCACAAAAAAAAAAAAAAAAAAAAATCTTGTTTCTACCTATAGAACGGCCCAAAATCAACCACACGGTGGCACTTCTGAAAATCCCACGATTTTATCTTCTGGCATTCTCGGTGAGCCCGGAGCTTGACTTTGACTGTGCCGGGGCACAGGTGGGACGTCGACCTGCGAGGTGGATGCTGCTGGGAGCAAACATCATTTCCATCGACTCGCCATGATTCCGCAAACTCGTCCACGTCAAACTTCAACAAGCCGTCACCCCCAATGGTGTCGTCTCGCTTCTGACCGTTGTAGTTCCCACAAAGGCCGCAAAGGCGACCGCGTAGGTGGGGAGCAGCAACAACTTCTACAAAACTGTCCCCATCCCAGGTAATTTCTAGACCTGTAGTGTGAAAAACAAAGCTTAGGGGCTGTGGATTTACTATTGAAAAAAGTTAATATGGGCTAAATTTTCAGTTGCCCAATGATGTCCAAATATACTGAGTCTTAAGGTTTCCCAACCTGCAATGGTGGTGAGTTTAAGAAGGTATCCATCCAAATCGATGTGCACCCCAGGGCCGTGGTACGGCAATGCAATGCGAGTCCCATTCCTTCGAACTGTGAGGTGCTGATGCAGACTGAGACTCAAAGCGCCAAGTCGAACTTCAACGAACTGAGTCCAGGAGAACGAGCGAGTTCGCCGAGCATCGTTCTTTACCAGCACCTGCAATTAAGAGAAATATAACTTACTACAGTAATATTTAAGCTCAAGATCTTGATGTGAAGGTAAGTCTATCAACCATTTGCAGTTTTTTTTAACAACCAGCTGTTTTGGAAAAGGTTTTTTTTAGAAAGGTATACCACTCATTTGCATTAATTCCCAGCAAATAACTCAAAATCTTTTGAGGTGGTCTGGGTTTATTCTTTTCTGCAGAATAGCTTAACCTTTGTAGGAATGGATGGAAAGTGTTTGTGAACATGTTTTTCAATGATTTTAGACATTTTGGTCCAGTCCATCCCATTGTATCTCTGGCTGTAAATTTGGTGGTGTCAGGACGATTTGAGATTAAAGGAAGTGGATTTGATCATGTAGGTGACTTATGAAGGCTGCACTGGATGTTATATAGGGCTAAAGAGTAAAAGTGGCAAATTACAAATGCAGGTCACACATTTCAGATTGTTAATTATAAAAAATTTTGAAAACTACTTAATTTTCCTTCCACAGTAGAAAAGTTTCCATATAAAGCTGAGGTGAGTTTTTTTCCTTCTATTTTTCATCTAGCTTGGGGTAAGCAAATTCTCGCAACCTCTGTTTACCTATTTACCTACCGTGAAGCTGTTGATGCTGTTTCCAGACATTGCAGATTGGGTCCTGCCACATTCACGTGTCAGCACATATTGACACGTTCCTTGAAAGTTAAAGGTCCTGCCATCAAAGGTGTTGTAGTGAGGGTCACCAAAGACTGTGCATACCCCAGGTTCTGTACGAAAGAAAAGAGAAAGGGAATGATGATAAAGAAAAACATGGAAAAATGCTTCTGCTGTTCAAATCTGAGTAACTATAAATAACTGCAGTGAAAGAGCAGCAGACCACGAAACATCACAAGCTTTAAAACTAATGTATCTGAAAAACATGAAATCCAACTCCAGAAAACTGAATTTATGAGAAATACAAAAATATGTGGTCCTAATCTGCCTTGCTCAGAAGTGAAACCAGTATATGTGGTGTGGTAAAAAGTCTGCCTTACCCAAATAAAACTACATTTTATTTTATGTGCAAATGAGGTTTAGAGGGTATTTGTATTACTGAAATAGACCAGGCTGGGGGATTTCTGCTGAGGAAAAATGACCTGAGGACAAAACCACAGTCTGGACCAAAGTACTGTGAGGACTACTTAGCCAAAGCAGCAGAAGTTTGCTCTCAGAAGTAAAGATCAATGTAGGAACATGGAAACATGCAGGTTGTTTATATGTTCGTGCAGCACTTTATATGTATGTAAGTGTGGGTGTGTGTGTGTGTGTGGGTGTGGGTGTGTGTGTGTGTGGGGGTGTGCGTGTGTGTGTGTGTAAAAAAACATTCAAGATAAGTAAGAGATTATTTAATACTCCAATTAGTTGGACTTACTCACTTTCAGTGCAAACTGGACAACAGCCGGTTCTGTTCAGGATCTTGTTCTGTAAGGAACGAGATGGAGGCATTATTCATACTTATCAAAAAAAAAAAAAAGACTGAAGAATGTCTGGACAAAAGTGATAAAACACTTTATAACAGATCCACTTAATTAATGGGAGGACTGGAATCAACAGTTTTTTCAGTTTTTTGCCTGCAAAATGCCAGTCAGAATCATTCAAGGAAAAATTGTCCAATGGTTGAATTGGTTCAAATCCCTTCATAATCATAATGCATTGAATCAAAAACACTGTTTGAGTCACTGTTATCAGTGCACAACATATTGAGTGAAATTAAAAGTCAATTTATTAAAGTTTATTTAAACCTTGATTACTTTCAGAAAAGCTGATAAAGTTGCATTTGAAAAGCTAGTTGACATTCACAAGATAAAACTTTGGACTGAATGTTTAGTAAAAACATGGATTGTTTTTCTAAATGTTTGTAGTTTTTCCTTACTTCTGAAATGCAAAGCTCATAAGCAGTGTGGATACGCTTCTACTAATTAGCAGAGCTAATTATTTGCATTGCGCTTTTGCTTACTTCCCTAAATTATTTTTTGAGGTAAATTTGAAAGTTGTAAATCACTTGGCTGCTTTGGAAACTTTTAGTTGATCAAAGTTAAACATCTGTAATGATGTAATGGTTATTGGTTGTTAAGATTGTTAGCGCTGGAGTTTGTCTGTTCTAATTTTGAAGTGAAGACTCTTTACACAGCAGATCCTTTCCTCTTCTCACTTTCTATTTATAATAATTTTTTCAAACAAGAAATATACAGGAACACAAGAAACTATAACTATTAGAGAACAAGATATAAACTTAAATACAAAATATAATCTTTGTAATCTTTCAACAAAAATATAATTTGAATTGAAGTCAATACTTTAGCACAGCTTCCAATAAATACTGTGTTTTGTAGTGCTTTAGTGTTAGCAGATCTAATGTTTATGATTGTTGTTTTGGGATAATCATATAGTAACTAACGATTTAGTTCCTGCTACCCACCTAAGCTCAAAAGAAATGGTTTGTGTTTTAATGAGATTAAAGTCAAATCAGGTATGCCACAAAACTGCGACTAATGGACTTTGTGTAACAGGAACCTCTGTCTATGTGTGGGTGCATGAGTATGTGTGTATGTTTCAACCTCCATCAGAAGAGCAGATCAGAAAACTCTTTTACACGCAGTTTCTGTTGCCTGAGGGAAACTCTTCATTTGCACCTCCTTCTAAACGAGGGCCCTCACTGATGTAATGTTTTTCTAAACTTTAAGCCTTAATTTTGAAGCTCAAACAGCAACCCCCGTTTTAACTCTATCTCTCCTTTGAAAGCCTGGACAGGCCAACTCTAAAGTATTTTTCCTCCCCTGTCTTTTTCATGGGCACGCCACTCATCTGTCATCGGTCATAGACGTTCTCTGTACTCCCAGCATACGCTTCAGTTCTATCCTCCACACAAAGGACACTCTCAGTCTTTGAAGAGTGCACACACACACACACACATAGAGGAATACACACTCCCTTTCAAAATGCACACACAGTGACAGATTAGTTTTCAAGGGCCTAAATATAGGGAACCTCTTCTCTGCTGTCACTCAAACGTAATACAGACAAAAGGCTGTTCGGAGACACGCTGTCTCCAAAGGGGACCCAGACACTCGGGTGACCTGCTGCTGACCGCAGGAGGACGACCTGGGAGAGATTGTGTGTGTCCATGTGAGCTTAGAGAGTGTGTTGTGTCAGTGAAGAGTCACAGTTGTGACCACCAAGAACAGGTGGAGCAGTTTGCATGCTGTATACGACCAGATTAATTAATCCCAAACTGAGCCAAGATGTGGTTCTCTCAGTTCTCTTTACATCCTGCTCTGTTTTAGAAAGATGTGTTTTGAACATGTTTTCAATGTTTGGATTCATTATAGATGCGATAGGTTAACAGAAGCTGTGCATGTTTTGACATTAGCTGCTCCTAGACAACATTCAATCAACCAAATTCTCTTTAATATTTCATTGTTGTTCAATAAGTGATGTCACCTTCATCACAGTTGTATTTTCTTCCTGTTTGTTTTGGTGATACACTTAGAAACCAGAATACTTTCCATCTTGTTCAACCAAGTTGAACAAGTTGTTCAAAGTTAAACAATTTTTCTAATCGATGAACAATGCACCATGCAACAAAAAGGTTACATTTCAATATTTTCCACGTTGCCCCTTCACTATTGCAAACCTTTAACAAATAAAGGTTTGCAATAGTGCAAACCTTTATTTGCACTATGAATGGACGTCCATTTTGGGCCATGTGAAGCATTGCAGAGATCTTAAACAGTTTAACAGTGATTCAGAACATAATTTGAAGCAGTAAGCAAATTACTGCTTACTGCTTCAGGTTTTGTTCAATTTATAGTGCTTTTTTCACTACTTGCAGTTCTTTTCACTGAATTTTCACAAACACTGGTGACATGAGAGTGGGTGAGTTTTAATTTGATGGTTTTATTTCCCAAATTATAATTTATGTGTGTAAATGACACAACCCTTGACATGGTGTTCTCCCATTCCAAATAAAACAACAAGAATGTCCATAAATAATAGTGATAATTACATTAAAAAATTAAGTTGTTTTAAACAAAAACATAAACAATTCCCACCTCATAAAGAATAATAATGATGAAATTTAATCTGGCATGACAAATCATGTTCTTTGGAGAGAAATTGCAACACAGACCACCAACATCATTCTGTAGTCTCCAGCTCTGACCACTAACAACAGGTGAGGGCTTGTTGTAACCACTGGAAGCGTGTGAACTTGGACTAACACTGACACCATCTCTGACTGCATGACCAGCACCGGTCGGCGGTATGTCAGGAATCCACTCCATCACCCGCAGACCGACAGATGACTTCGGAGCGACCTCTGCGACAGGTGAACGCAGCACAAACTTCTTTTAAACTCAGCATGCTGCTGCCATTTAACAGTTGGAGAAAATACCTAAAACCGATTACCTATGTTTTTTTTTTTTTATTATTATTAATTTATGGTGAATATTGACCAGAAGGAAATTGCACATGCAAGAAAGTGTAAAATATTAAGCTCTTATTCAAGTAAATATTAGTTCATTCCATTCACTAGTAAATGGTGGTGATTCCTACACATAAATCAACAGACTGAAATAACAATGTAAGAATATTTTATATTTATAAAAACATAAGGGAAAATAATACGTGCTACTTTTTAGATCAGGCTAATAGTTTTTGTCAACATTTTGGGGCATTTATGAGTTTGGAAGTGACAGAAAGTTTTGGACCATACCAGGGACCTGTAAGATATGCACGTTGTCTGGGAGAAGACAAAATAACACAAGTTGCAAATCTAACAAGCAGAAAATCCAGATGTACTTCTACAAGTAGAAGTGAATCTCTGTCACTCACCGAGGGGCAGCTGGTGATCGGCACACACTGTTTGGGCCGACACTCGACATTGCCTTTAACACAGGCACAAAGAGTGCAGTTCACTGACGACCACATGTCTCCTTCCTACAGACACAACAAGGTCACAGAATTAGGGCACATATAGAATAAATTACCTTCAGATATTTTGTCATAAACCCAACATCTGCATTTCTTTTACTGCTTGCTAATTTAGTAATGTGTGAAACACCAATATTAAAATAATGGTCTGTAACTACTGTAATTTGAGTAGATGGGGAAAAAAATCTATACATAAAAATTGAATGCAACTAAGACAATATTTGTTTGCATAAAAATAATGATTATTTCTGCATCTTGGTTGGAGTTCTAGTTTAACTCAGCTGCTATAATGATCATCCACCACAAGGGGAGCTCTCCAATCCATCGTCTCATTCATCGTCCTGCTATTTATTTATCTATCAGTCTCTTCATCCCATCTATCCTGCCTCCATCCATGTATTACTCTTTATCAAAAAGTGACTAATCTGTCCATCAATAATCCATTCATTCTTGTCCTCACCCTGTAGATTTTGTTCCGCACTCTGCAGTACTTCACCTCTTCCACCTTCACGTAAGACAAACACTCATCACAGCACTGACTGCCCTGGCAGCTGCCTGGACGTGAGCACCGCTTTTTGCACACCACTGTTGAATCCTTAAGGTCAAGAAACAGATAATTAATCACTCTTGATCCTAGATATTGACACACACTGCATAAAGAGACATAGAAGAATTTTTCTGCACTATCTGACAGTAAATCAGATAAAATAAATCCGGTCATTCATTCATTTCCTTGTGGTTTTCATGATAGTAATTATTTACCAATCAGAGGCTTAGAAAGCCAAAGAATAATTATCTGGGCTTTTTGAAATTGAGACTTTGAAGTAAGTAATACAATATTAATTAAAAAAAATATCTTCTAAAATTTCTTCAAATTAAAGAAATTTGTTGAGGAAACCACAAACAATCGTTTGATCAAAATCTTACAACATAAAAGGTAATCATACCCAAATACTTAGAAAATATATATATATGTTTCTGAAATTGAAGACATTTTTTGGTCTAAGTTTAAGTCAGAAACGAAGAATATTGACATTTCATATTGTCCAGAAAAGAGTAGTAAAATAAGTTTAAGAGTTAAATGTGTTGTAATAAAAATTAATCTCTGAGAAAGTACCTTGCATGTGCAGGTGGTGCAGTTGTTGAGCATAAAGGAAGTACCATTCTCATAGACATCGCTGTGGAAAAGGCAACTTCCTAAAGAGAGATCAAACACCTTCCGCTGACCTGCAGATGGAAGAGGATCATGTATGAAGAAAATCACATGAACAATCAGAGCATTACAAAGGAGCTGAAGCTCAAGACATACCAATACATCTGGGACAGCACTGTCCAGGAAGGGTGTGGCTCAGGTGAGCGGGGCATGACAGCACAGGACACACTTCCTTCATGCACAGAGTCCGTCCTCCCTAAAATAAAAAAAAAAGAAAAATCACAATTACTAACATTAGTATGGTTTCATGTTTGTATATCACATTAGCATCCATGTTCTTACACTCTGACACAGATGTCAGTGTAAATGTGATTTGCACATAACCTAAATGTTTTAGGTTTTAATTTTGGCCCAATTTTGTGGGCCAAAATTGTCAAACTGAAAGTAATCAAGCATCACAAACATCAGATTTTTTAAAATAAAAGTGCAAATGCAAATTCATTGATTGTTTTTTCTTTACCTAAATGTTCCAATATTATAATGACATTTTACAACAAAGCACAATTGTTGAAGAAATTGGATCCCTGAATCATGTTATTCAAGAAGAATTAAAAATGTTTTTTTTTTTTCTTGTGCCTTTTTTAAAGTATTGCACACACTTTTCGTTTCATTAAAAACTTTAAGAGGAATCAATCTTTAATGACAGATTAAATTAGTATTACTTTTTAAGATGATTGTGTACGGTGGGAGCCATACACAATCATCTGAAGAGCTAAAAATGCGGCTCCCCACCCACACTCTGTGCACGTCTGGCCTATTTTATTGCTCAGCCTCTGCTTGAAACAAATGATAAATACAGAAAAACAATATTTTTTCATAAGTTTTTATAGATACAGCTTGACACAGCATTTTAAATTTCAGACAGATACATTAAAATCATTCAGCATCATAAGAAACTCTGTTAACTTTATAAATAAACAAGGAGAAGTATGATAACAAGTTTGCTTGAGCATTTGTTTAAAAATCCTGGCGGGTGTCCTTATTGGGCGTCAACACATTAATACTTCCATGTGTTTATGGACCTGACTGAAGGGTTTGTTTGTCTAAGGGGAGATGGTGGAGGCAAGCAGGAACATGGGAGAAATTAAAACGGGGAAAGCAGAGAGGTGGATGTTGTTCCAACCAGAAATTTGTGACTCCTGAGAGACTCCAAAGCTAACTCATTTGCAGGACAGAGATCCTGTTGGAAAGGTGAATTTACGCTGCATGTGTACTCACAGTGCACATGCACTTGATGCAAGGTTTGCCTTCAGGACTGAACTCTTCCTTCTCTTTATAGAGGAGACCCTCAAAGATGCAACCTGCAGCAAAAGATGTCAACCATATTTTATTTACATGTCCTTTAAATTCGGTTTATTAAAACACATTTTTTAAATCTCTGTAAAGATATTTGTTTTGAAAATGATTCACTGCATTAAACCAGATGAAAGACACAGAAACACCAAGTGACAACATAAACAAATTTTGACTAGCATTTTACAGTGAAAAATAATACCAATGTTTGAAGAGCAATCAGAAAATACGACAATAAATAGATCCTTAAAAGTCTAAAAATGTAAATTGGGTGATAAAATAAAAAAAGAACAAACAAATGCCAAATTATTTTGAGTACAAAGTAATTAAAATGACTAAAAATGCCACTGTTATGTTTTTAAATAAACTTCTTGAGTTCACTCTAAATGAATGTGAATACAATAAGAGAAAATTAAAAGTTTCATCTGTTTTTACTCACTCGGGCAGGTCGGACAGCACTTTTTGGGGTGAATTTTTGGGTTTTTGCAGTGAATGACACACTGAACTTCCGCCTCTGTGATCACTCCTTCCTGAACAAGAAGCAAAATAATTCCTTCAGCTTCACATCTGAAATATATCATTACACCTTTTTTATTTTCCAATCTATAACTGCTATGACACAGTTTGTATCTTCTCTCTTATTTCAATCCTCATCATTGATTATTGCATGACAATTATGTTATTTTTATCCAGGCATGAGTTTGTCTGTCCTCTGGACTTTTTCCAGTCTTTCCACTTCATAATCCCCCTTCTACCTGCTACCAGTCACACATATGTATCAGAGACTCACCTGACAGCGTGTTGTTATGCAGGGTTTGGTAGAGGTCATCCAGGATACGGAGCTGTTATACGACCGTCCATCTAACAAGCAGCCTTAAGCAGACACGGAGTTAATGGTTAGATTTTTTTCTTTTAAATTCTCTTTACATTCTCTTAACATTTAAAAATTAACCAGCTGTGGCATCTATGGCATATTGAGAAGAGGCAGTTGTAACGATGCAGATATCTTTTAGAGGTGTTGGTTGGAAAACACTTCTTTCTGTTCTGGAAATGTCGTCAATTAGACAAAACAGTGGCAATATTTGTTTTAGGTTAAACACCTGAATGTTTAAACTGTTCTGAGAGTGAAAGCAGCTATGCAACAACATCCCTATAACAAAACAGATGAAGTAACAACTTTAGCTGAGAATAAAAGTGTGATTTAGTGCATGAACTCATTTCAGGACAAAAACAACCACTTCATCATCCCAGATGTAAATCTCAAATATTACATCTAGTTTTTTGCAAATGCTGAAAAATCTTTCTTCCATAGATCATTTACAAACTGCAGGTTCACCAAGAAGAAAATCTGCAAAGGTAAAATTGTGATTCATAAACTTTATGATTAACATGAAAGACAGCAATGAAACTGGAAGATGCTTCTAAGCTGTAAGTAGTGTGATCAGATAAACTATTATTTCTCAAGATATTTTTATTTTTGCTTCTTTTAATTCAGGAGAAGTTTTGCAGTGAATGACACACTGAATGACACACTGAGCCTCTGAATTCAGTTACATTTAAAATGTAACTGTAGGCTTACTGGCTTTAAAGCAAAGACCAGTAGTAAGACCACTCTAACTAGAAGATGAGTTGCAAACACAAATTGATGCTTGATTCTTATAATTTCTCCAAACTATATATTGTTCTAACCCAATTTTGTTTTCTAATTTAACTATTTAAAATCCCTTCATAAAAAAACAAAAGTTTTTACCTCATGTTAACGTAAATAAAAAGATTTCTCAAAGTAAAACAATACCAAAGCTGCATACAATATGTTGTAAAAAAGTTTATTTGTTTATCACCACTTTTTATTTCTCATAAAAAGTGATCCCAACCTCTATGAAATCTGGATTTGAACAATTCTGAAATATTAGCTGCAGGGCTGCTTCAACTTTTTCCTGTAATAAACTCAGATCTCTTGGTAATAAATCTTTATTTTTGGGGGACCTAATAAAAATATTTTGTGATGAGAACATACAGGCCTTGGAAAAAGTATTCATACCGTTTCAATTTTCCCACATTTTGTCATGTTCCAGGCACACATTCATTAAATGTGCGTTTTATTAGGATTTCAGCTTCATTCTTTTCTACTTCTTTCTTTTTTTATAAATACAAATATCAAACTTTTACCTTTGTTATATTCAGTCCCATCTAACCTCACAAATTTAGAACAGATAATTATATATAGAAGACCACATATTAGTAAAACAATCTGTGTGTGATTTGTTTATTGGAGTACATTAATAAATAATAAAAATAAAAACCTGCATCCTGAAGACGCCACATGGATCAGGGATGTGGTTGTGGAGAAGTTTAACTCGGAGTTAGTTTACCAAACAACCTGCTTTATCCAGGCTCTATATCAACTAACTCTGGAAACAGAAAAATGTACATATGAAACTCTAGTCCTCTGCCCCTCCTCCACAAATCCAGCCTCAGAGCAAAGCATTTAGATGCAACAGCTAGTCTTTACATAACGACCGCTCCACTGTCACCCACTTTCCTTGCAGCGCTGAATGAGAAGCCTATTCATTTCATCCCTTTTACAGTAAGCGGTCTCAGATCAATTTTTAACTTTTCATACACTGAAACCTAATCAGAGTCATTGATCTACTTTCTGCTTTGTAAAATAAATCCAGTGATGCAATATTACTGCTGCAGGAAGACTTGCCATAATTTAGAAAATAGGTTTAACAAAATTCCAATGTTAAAGAACAACACAGCGGCTTGAAAAACATTCATGCATTATGAACTTTGCCCACATGTTCTTATACAACCTCACACTTTTATGTATTTTCTTGTGATTTTAGATGAAAGGTCAGTCTAATGTCTATAGCAGCTTTGCAGAGACTGAAATGTTTTTCTATTCTTTGCAGAACAACTTCAGCTCAGTCAGATTGGACAGAGAGTCTTGCTACAGATTACCAACAGGATTTAGGTTTCTGTTCTCAATTCCTTTAGTTGGTCTGTCAGGTTAAATCCTGACAATGTACACTTATGGGCTACATTTGCGAGGCACAGTCACCATCTTTTCCTACCTGCTTTTTATATTTTATCAGTGTAAAACAGCATCTGTTAGAAATATTTGGGGTATTTGGGACTTTCAAGCAAAGTACATAATACATCAAGGTTGAGTTCAGGTAACAAAAATCTGAATCTCACATGTTAAAACCAGCAGCCTGAAGATAGACAAATAGCAAGATATCAAAAATAGGCTTTCTACTAAAGTACTGTGTACCCAATTTGAGAGAAAATGTGTCATTTCTGCACTTCTCTGAGAGTGTAAGTGATAATATGGAGCACTTTACGTTGCAACAGGCAGTGCTATACCAAAACAGTTTGACTTGTAGTGTAAAAAAAAGGCAGAGTCACAACCATCAGGGCATTAATCAGTATATTGTGATTCCTTTCTCAGAATCAAGAGACCAACTTTTAATCTTTTAATTACCAACTGTAATTAAAAGTAACTATTTGGATTCAAACTATTTATAATTTATTTGTGAAAATTTACTAAACATTTCCAATGAAGCTTATTCTCTTTAATCAAGTAAAAATAAATAAATAAATAAACGTCTGTAAGACTTTTTGGCTTCCAAAAGCAATATGTTGATGGTTTAAACAGAAAAGGTGCTTAAACAGCTAACAATAACATTCTGTACCCTCATTCAGAGGATCTCTTTAACTAACACAATTCTAATAGTTGCTTTATTCATTATTTTTCCACTGTGGCATAAACTTGTTTTCAAAAGCAATTTTAGACCACAGTCTTTGTAATAAAGTGACGCATCCTGACTGGGATTCTCATCAATTGCAAGAATGACTTTAATAAGGAGCAAAAACACAGCAGCACAACCCACTGGTGTGTTTCCAGTAGCAAAGACAAAGCAGAGTTCATCAGTCAGGAAAGCTGGCTGCAGTGACGATGCAGTGATTTTCTCCACTTCTACTAATGAAGTGCTGAGTCGTAAAACAGAAAGCTGCAAACAAAAAGGTTGCAGCCCCGCAGAGAGCCAGAGGTAAGTGTGAGTGTTTTTATATTTCCATGGAGCCACATGGCTTCTTCATCAAATACATTTTCAAGCAATAAGGTCATTTTGGAAGTTTGTCTATCATTTAAAGGTGAAGTTTGGTTGCAGGTTAGTTAGTAAAAAACATATTTCTTCTGAAGAAATCGGAAGAAATATTTGGTTATTTTGTTGCCATTGTTTTTAAGCATCACAGCTGTCTTAACTTACTGTAGGTAACTTCATTATGTTTTGCTTTGTCGAAATTGAATTTCCATCCAATTGATTCTGATTTATTTCAGTGATTAACAGACTTAGACTTAAATGTGAAAATATACAAAAGGAAAATGTTCTGGAAAAAAAAAACACTAAACAGTATTTTTATCATCTTGTTGCACTGCAGACTCTGTTCAATATTCACATAAAAATTGAGGAAATACATGTGTAAAAATTCTGGAACAGTCCCCCATCTCAAGTGCAATCTCCCCAGAACTATTATTAATCTTCTCTTTACACAGGATTTTGGTTGAGTATGAAATACCCTTATCAATTTGATTATTTGGGCATTGTCCTTACCTACTGATAGATTTTATTAGCTCGTCATGTTGTGTTGGGTTTCTTTGCATTTTGCCCATATATCATAGTGCTACCCTTGAAGTTGTTGTATTTTAAGGGGATCTTAAGAGAAATTTAAATGAGGTAAACATTTCCACAAACATGCTATGTATAATCTGTAAATAATAACATTTACAGATTCAACTAGTTATTCACTTTGTGTTTAGCTATTACAGTGTAAATTATAAGAAAATTCAGAAGAAGATTTAAATACACAGATGATCATCCTCAGAGATCCTTGAACGATTCTGATCATTAAGACAGTGATCAGAATGATGCTGCCCATGTGGAAGAATAAACAAATAAATCCTCTTGGATGATTTCAGACTCATAAAAGTAACTATATTTCTGTTGCTTGTAAACCTGACAGTGAACCCATTCAGCAGCCAAACTGTCTCCACATGCTATGGCTGTGTGTATGTGGCTTCACATGAGGTGAAAAAAACATCCAGATTTACTCCCACAGGTTGCATTCAGGCCTGGCTGTTTGCATGCACTGCAGTAAAATGGTCTCTGAAGGTTTGGTGAATCTGTATGAGCTTTATGTTTCTGCGTTATAGCAGTTCTCCCCATTAGAGTCCTGCATCTGCAGATACCAGAAAACTCCCAAGTTCATTATTATCCTCATTGCTGTTTATTCACCGTCATATCAGGGTCAGAAGACATAAAAAGACATTCTCGTCTTTCTCTGGATCTGTTAATCTGTCTTACCTTTGCACCGTTCACAGCAGGCGCCAGTCTGTTTCACCACCAGAGCACAGTCATCAGAGACCGGCGGACATTTCTCCTGTTTACAGTCTGCTTTCCCATCCTGCAGGACAGACACAGGAAGAGAGCGCTGCTCTGTTATTTTTCAGATTTTTCAACTGTCAAAACTCTGACTTTAGTCTATTATATTACAGTCATTTTATCTCATCCATTATTTCCATCATGTTTTATCACTATTGACTATCAAGGTAAATTGTGGGGTTTTTTCACTTCTAAAATTTAGAAGTGAAAAAAATCCCCTAACATTCAGCCTAACATTTAGAATCTAAATGTTTAAATACAGCCATCATGACCAAGATACCACCTAATAAAGATGCTTTAAAATTTTCTGGTAAAGCCTTATGAGGTGCTTTGTTCAGGATAATCAGCCCAAATGTAATTATTTAATATTCAGTCTTTATTACTCTGACATGACCTACCTCGGGGTTTTGATTTGAAGCACGAGCGCTACATAAGCCTTCAATTATTGATATTTTTTTCTTCATATTTAACAAAAAGCTCTTTAAGAATCAGTAATTGTGACCTGATTACACTTTCTTTTTTTTATAGCCTGATATGGTGCAAATCCTTTTTGTCACATCTTCTCTTTACTGTCCAGGTTATGACAAAAAAATTCTCTATATATTATTAAGATGCTTTAGAAGAAACAAATAGGAGCTAAGAAAAAATACTCAGTGATATGATTAAAGAAAGTGACACAGTGCTAAAGAATGTTCTAGAAAAGACAACCTGTTTAAAAATGACTGCTAAATAACATTTTTGCTTTTTTGTCATCTTTATCCCAAATTTTAAAATAGACCTTCACATCTGAGAGAGTAAGGAGTGAAAGGACTGAAATGTTTCTCTGCTTAAATTTATATAAAAGGAAATATGGCCAATAGCTCAAAATATAGTGGATGATTAATTACAGGCTTATCAAAAAAAGGCACATTTGAGTTTATTTAGGGCATATTTAACAGGAGAAATATAAGTAAAATTTTGACAAAAGGCCTCTTCAACATCTTTGATTACAGCAGGGCTTGAAGCTACCATAACCCTAACCTGTCACTATTCTGACTATTACAAAGATAAAGGGTCACATTAATCAAGTCAAGCATTTAAATAAGTGTATATGTTACCTATGTGTCCTCTCACAAACTAGTTAATGAATTAAATAGATGTTTCTTACTTAGATTTATGTGTGTTGGGATTGTTTTGTTGTGTTTTATCACAGCCAAAAAGTCGTGCTGTGACACTATGAACAGGCTAAACAAGAATAAACATTCCTTTTGTGGTCAATTATTGGTTTGTAAAATATCCCTGTTTGTAATGCTGTAAATTTATCAAAATAAAGCCAATCTTAAAATCAGGATGGAGAAACTGAAAACCTAGTTAGATTTTTCAGCACAATGCATCTTCAGCAAGATCTGCTCCTTCAGCAAGATATATCAATGATTGTTTTAAGTCAATAATTGCTTACCACTGATTAAAAAGTACTAGTTCTAGTACTAGCAAACTATTTAACCAATAACAAGACATTTTCCCATGTTTTAAGTGAAATAATCTGCCAGTGGAACGAGTATATTTTAGTCAAGGGATTATTGACTTAAATTATGCTTCTAAAAATGTACCTGCAGATTAATTTCGACTTATTTCAAGTACACTGGGATATTTGTACTAGAAACTGGATCAAAAATACTCAAGAATTTGTGTTTTTGCAGCGTGACATTTAGCCGTGTCTGAGCAAACAAATCAGCACCATCAAATCTACAGGTATGAATGAAGTAGATCAAATTGAACAGAATTACTGTATCTATGCTATGTTTTTTTTCCAAATTCACAACTTGGTTTGAATTTTGCAGTCTGAGAAATAAAATATGGCTCAGCCTTGACGCTTCAGCTGTGAATTTTCACACCAGCACAACAAACCCCCTGTCGCCTCCAGAAACACTACGCACTGTGTCAGTCAGAGCTGTTACACACACGGTGGGAATGGTCAGAACCGGCGTCGCTTAATTCTCTCAAGTTTCACACCCAGTCTTTACTGCCGTTTTCTTGCCCACTCTGAGTGTGTTTTGCTTTACAAACTATGAGGGTTTGTAAAGCGGAGGCTGGCAGGTCCTGCGGCCCTGCGGCAGGAGGCTCCAACAAAGACGGATCAAACGAGTGCGAAAATAAACCCGGCCAGTTTTATATAGCTGCAGCTCTCCGAATAAACCCCAACCACACCGAGGTCAGATGATGTCATGACACGAGAGGAGGGAGGAGAGGAGCCGAGATGGAAAGAAACAAATAATGAAGTGTAACAGGTCAGAGGGAAGACGAAAACTAGAGGAGAATGACAAACTCAGGATGAGATTCTGGTTTGTTGAAGGTTACTCTGTAAATCTTACATTTCTTAACACCTGGTCATCAAACTCAACATCTCATTTTATTTCATACAGCAGGGATAAATTATGTCAAAAATAAGAATTAAATGACTTGATTAATGTCAGTTCTCAACCTGAAGCCAAGGGATTGAAGAATTTAAATTGGCAAAGATACTTTTAATTTATGGGATGCTAATATTAATTATGGTATAGTAGCTTAAAATATTACCAATAAAAGTTATCAGAACATTTAGTAAATATAAGTAGCAATGTACAATTGACATTCTTCTGGCTTTAGATACAGGATACAAACCAGAAGAAAATCCCACAAGGACAGCTGAGCTTTACATCCAGTTCTCTCTAATGTCCTCTTTTCAGGAGAATGATAAACTATTAATATATTTATTTATCTGGGTAATCAGTTTCATAGTTGATGCCAAAGGTGAAAGTACTTATCATGATCTCATTTCATGTTCAGAAACAACCATCACTTTGACAACACAACCAAAACATCGTGAAATGAAGAAAACAAGGAAAATATCATAATAAATACCTAAATTAGAAAAATTCTGCTCTGTCGTTGATACAGTCTTTTAATAAGATTTTTATGTTGTGAATCTTAGACATGCCGTAACGTTCTTCAAGCCAAGAGATTTTCTTTTTTTCTTCTAAATCGCTGTTCACTGCAGTTTTTTGGAATGAATGCACTCCTGGAAAGAAAGATTGGCCGTGGATGTAGACCCACTAAACGGTGGAAATGTGACAAGTCAAAGTGCAAAACAACTAGAACACCATATTATCAATTGCTGATGAGGTGGTTCCTCAGACCACTGCTGTTTTATAAGCGCAGCCCCGGGCTCAGCCTGTAATTTTAAAGGGAAGCTGTGGATAAATTAGGAAAGCTACACAGTGGGTATTCAAGGAACTGCAAAGCAAAAGATTTCTATATATATTTAAACCGTAATCATCCATCATGGAAGACAGCCGTAGTTGAGTTTGTGAAACTTTCCCATAGACTTGTTAAAGCTGAGTGTAAACATGCGGTGAACTTGCTGCTATAAGTAAAGCAAGAGGAAGCTCCTGAGTCTTGGTCCTGAGTATGCCTGTCGCAATAAGCAATAACTCAATTAACCGCATGATGAATTAAAACAAGCTCAATAATTCCCATTTGCACGATTTATAATTTTTCTCTTTTGTGACTCTTTCTACCAAAAACTGGATGACAAAAGTCCTCATTTGGGTGCTTTGGTCTCAACTGGCCCAGTTTTTGAAGCACAATTATTTATTTATTTATCTTGGATATTTACATCCAATATCCAATGTCTTCCAGTTAAATGTTCATTAGAATTTAAAGTTTATTGGTCTCTGAGAATGTGTTCTTGTATTATTATGCCTTTAACATTATATTACTTAAAAATGGTCTCAAAACATTATTGTTTACAGCAATATTTTCTGGAAGAACGTATTGTCCAGCAATATTTGTTATTGTGACAAAACCAATCCTGAGATCTGTTCTTATATAGTTAAAAAATTTTTATTGACTTATTTGTTTTCTAAATATCCTAAATATCCTTTATTACACCCAGCAAACAATGACATACTACAACCTAAGAAAAACTAGGTAGCCAATTAGCTAATCAGTTAATTTACTTGTGTTCATAACTTCATTCACAGGAACATGCAACCGCCACACAAAATGGTGGTGAAAACAGCACGGCCAACCCTACATTTTGATATTGTAAATAAATATATCTAAATGTAAAGTTGACCAAACTCCAACCTTGTGTTTAACTGTAATTTAAATGTTTTAGTTCCTGTCATTAAGACAGAATCAGTCGAAAGCTCCTCCAGACTAGTGGCAGTGTTGAATAAGAAACAACACATTTCATTGCCATTTTTGTTAAAATTTCAAATTTCAGTTCAGGTTATCTTTCTATCTAGTACACAGTCATGCACTACTTATTTACTTCAGCAAAAAATAAAAAATAAATAAAAAATAATTTCAGTTTGTGGAAGTGACAAAGTGGAACGAACATGATTAGTTTTGCAATGTACAGTATCTTTAATGGTAATAAAGCTACATTTAAAACAATTTAAAAAAAATAAAAACTTGTGAATGTGCCTTTAAATTCTGCAAATCAGCATCTGGAAGGTCATGTCCTCCTTCATCTCTGCTCTATCATCCATTAGCAGAGTATTGGTGGCACACGTGACCCACTCCGCTGCTACCCTCGTTGCGCCGGGGTCAGTGGTCACACTGGGTCACCTCGCCTTATAAACACTTGAAATACCACCACGGCACCAAGGCTGCTTGACTGTCTGTGGCAGACTGAGACCCCTCCCCCACAATACACACAAACATTAAGAGGGATAAGGCACTCGTTTGCTTATAAGTGGGTTTGTGTCAAAGGGAAAGTGATGCCAGTCTGTGGTTCTACAAATGCAGACGTGGTTTTGTTCGACTGCCTGAATTTACAACTTACTTTTCTTCACAGTAATCTATTGAAATGTAACCCAAACTCACGGTTGAACTTTAGTTAATTGGTTAAAACAATCAATCACAGACAATTTGAGCTGCGAAGATGCCGGATTTAACCAAGAACAAGAAACTGCAGAAGTAATCAGATTGTTTAAACTCAATCAGTGAAATTGAATAATTTACTAATGTGTTTATTGAATGTGAAAGGTCGACGTC